TTCGCGTACTTCTTTATTAGTTTTTCTTTTGGCATGATTTTTCCAAATGACCTTTTACCGTCACTTTACAAATAATGGAGCTTGTGTTGTTTCTAAAATAGGGTCAATCGCGTATTCCCTTCTCTAATTAGTTAAGTGATTGCTAAGGTATTTTTTGTTCCTCTGATTTATTGTTTAATTGTTTTATTAAAGATTTCTCAACAACATTTCGTGCTGCAATCGTTCGTTCGCATTCCGATTCCGATTCCAATTCCTATGCACATTCCCATTCCCAGTCCCACTCCCACTCCCATTGCCCAGTTATTGTAATTCCGATTTCACGCCGTTATCAATTCGTGTTCATACTATATTTCTGACCGATTGCCACCAATTGAGGCAAATGCGCAGTCGAGTGCAATTGACGTGCCAGCGAGTCAACAAAGAGCCAAATCAAACACACATTGCACACTTTTTACACACATGCTTGCTATACATGCCGACAGAGAGACAGACAGGCAGACAGACAGACTGTGTACTATATATAAATATATATGTGTATATGTTTGAAATTGCATTTAACTGACGATGTCGATGCTGTGCGCGTGATTTATGCGCCGGCAACAAATAACTTCATTTCAATCAGCAAATGGCAAACAAACAGACAAACATACTCGTTCAAACCCACTTGCGACCCACAGACGAAATGTCATGTGGAATGTCAGCTGAGCTATATAGTAGTAGGTACGAGTACGTTATAGTGTGCAGAGATGCGAGCACCCTGCTGGGTAGCATCGGGGCTTTATCTTGAATATGCAATTATAAGTCAACTCGATTACTGTCAAGCTGTTGGACATGTGCGCGAGTTTTGTGCAAGCCAGAAAATCAGCAGCAAACAAATCAAAATCAAAATCAAATGACAAACAAAGCTGCGAAGCGACAACGTTGCGTATGCGCAATGCGTTTATTGTCGGCTCCTGTTGTGGTCGCTCGGACACTCGACCACTCGACCATTCGAACAGTCGCACAGTCGAACTCTCGAACGGTCGAATGGTCGAACGGTCGATTGTTAGATCGTTTGATCGGATAGTTGGTCGATTGGCTGGTTGGTCGGTCGGCGCACTGCCGTGACCTCAAAAATTATATTATAGGCTGGCTTGATGGCTGGCTGGCATGATAAATGTGCAGCACCCGTGCATTTAAGGTCACGCATGCGTCGCTGCCGCTGCCGCCGCCGACGTTGCTGCTGCAGCGCTGCAACAGCGCCAGATTTGGTCAAAATCAAATGCTCAAATTGAAACGTTTGTGCTGTCTGTCAAAAGTGATTTTTGTTAACAAGTTGCAGGCGAAGCAGGCCAACAGCCATGGCTACAACTTTGTGTTTATACAGACACAGATACAGATACAAATGTATCATGTATCTGCTGCTAAATCACATCAAAGGCAAAGGAAAAGGCAAACGCTGTGCTCCATATGTGTGTGTGTGTGTGTGTGTGTGTGTGTGTAGAACTCACTCACACACTTACACACACACACTGTTAATACAAAAAGCTCTAAAAAAACATGCGAAAGTCATAAATCATAATTTTTTTTGCTCTCGGTTTTTTATTCTTCTTTTGCATTTTGTGTTTTCTCAAGTTTTTCGTGCTGCCTTCTTTTTAAATACAAGTATATTTTTCGGCTTTTGTGGCAACAAAATTACCGACTTTCAATTTGTAAATGTGCTGGTTGCCACACACACACACACATATATATACGCACACACAGAATGTGTTTTTGTGTGAAACATAAAAAGGCACTAAAAGTTATAGAGCATGTCTAGATGGGGGCATACGAAAACAAATCGCCTGCCTCTACTTTACACACAAATGTTCATGTTCACAGTGTACACTTGTGTACTACAGTAGTCGCTCGCTAACCGCATTTTCCAGGTTAACAATTTTCCAAAAGTGTGCTCATCTGCAGGTACATGAATGCAGTTTCGAGTGCATCGGATTTCCAACTTATAAGCTTTTCCTTCATGGAAATCAAGAGATATTAACAATTATTTCTGAATTCAATTGAAGTCAAAAACAGAGTGAAGACGAAAAGTCTGCAGATGAGTTTATTCTAAAAGCTGGTTAAAGATCATTTGCTCGCAGCTTGAAATTCCAGAAACAAATCATCAAAAACTCCCTTAGCCAGACAACTAATGTACAGGCAGATTATCGATGTTTAAATAAAGGATTGACATTATTTAAAACAATTGGAACCTATTTACATTGCTGAAGTCATTATGTTCTTTCAATAACTAAACGTTAATGGCCATTTTTATTTGTCAAAGATTATAAGATTAAACGATAAATATGTTTGTAAATGTCATTGGGAGTGGTGCCATCTGAGCCATTAGAGGGTTTCGTGTCAACACTTTTTTGGAACATACATATGGATGTACATCCGGGAATAATTATTATATAATAGCTGAACAATATTTCCATTGAAACATTTGATTTAAAGTATTCCAAGCATTGAAAGCAACTTTTTCTAAAAACACTTGCAATTTTATTCGATTATGTAAATTTTTCTTTAATTATGTGCCATTCTGCCGGTGATTCACACATTCAAACAAAATGGGAATTCGCCATAGAAATTATCGGAATTTCAAAGATGACAAAAGAAAAGAAAGAAATTTCGTAATTACCGAATGCTCTGACCCTAAGTTAATGAATCGGTTGCACTTAAAATTGTTATACAAGTATAGCCAGATAGAATGTTACAATGAATTATTATTTTTATCGTGGAATAAACTCGTGTTGCCTGAGGACAAGGAGAGTCTTTATTGAGACTTTTAGTAATGTGGGCTAAGCCGATTTAAAAATCTAGACGTTCATCCAGACGTACATACACACATGCTTTGCAAGAAGTTAACCTTTTTCGAAACTAGAACTGCTACTTTTCGAGTAATCACTGTATATAGAATTCTTGGAATTAATATGGCACACACACACACAGATGCACACTAACACATACTGTGTATAGTAGTAGCAGTGTGTGAAGCAAAATTTGCACGAACGTCAATTAAATGGAGAGGGGGAGGAGGGAGTCAAGTCTTGGAATGCATTTACGCTAGGACCGACAAACACGCATACTTGCATATAGTATATGTGTGCTTGTATGTATGTATGTATGTATGTATGTAGGTGTGAGACCGCGCACCAAGACTCGCACATGTAATAGATACTATAATGCTTAATAGTTTTCACGCTAATCTATCAAACAAAATCTCACGCACAATTCAACTACAACTTCAAAACAAGCCGAGTCATAAAAGCTGCAAAGCAAAAATAGAGAACGAAATAGAAGGGAGTACGAGAATATATAAATATGTTCATATAAGTGTGTATGTATGTGTCTGTGTATGCTCATAAAAACGAAAACTAAAAGTAAATCACAAAAATATGTCTAAAACGGGTTGCCTGTGAAATGCGCAGTACGCAGAGACATTAAAAGCGCGACATAAAGGCGATTTTTGTATTCGTTTTTTATTCCATTTCCCAACCTGTAGAGAACAAAAACATAATAACAACATTTGTTATTATTTGGACCGACAAGCAGCGAGGGTTTCTACACTAATTACCCAGACAAAGGAAGTGGCCAGACACATTCTGGGAAAAATCAAATCAAATCATTCCACAACTCAAGCATGCATTCCAAATTTGATTCCAAATTTTGACGCCAATTCAAAGGGAGTCGACCCCGAAATTCCAATATACTTGTACATACATAATTATAATAGTATGTGTGGTTACTATGCAGAGCAGTTTCTTTTCTACGTAATTATCATGGATGCGGGTCTGTGCAAAAAATGTGTTTGAAACATGTGTGGATAGATCTATTGGGAATGGGAAAAATGTTAAGATAAATGTAATTAAGCGCTGCTTGATTTCGCTCCAGTAGGGTGTCCACTAGGGGGGTGCTGACTAGATGGGGACCACCAGCCCAGTCTATTGTCTTGCTAATTTGCCATTTGCGAGTACGAAAGTATGGAGGCTGGCTTAGCTCCGGACTGATTAATTTGAAAAGATTTCAATATACTAAATATATTGTACAACAAAAATTCACATTCTACTGCTGCCATCAACAAATTATTATTATTATCTTTACATTGTCTGATATATGGTCTGATAAGCCGCTCTATAAACAAAATAAGCTCGTATATATAACAGATAAAATTTCAGACCGAATTTTATGAACTCTTCATTATTTACTCTTTACATTTTCTCTGATTAGTCGAAAGTTTCAATGCATATTTTGATTTAAAATTAATTGATTGACAATTATATTGTAAATGACTAGTCTTGAGAATAGGAACTTTATGTGAACCATGCAAGCAATAATTCTACATTTTTTAGCACGTCTTTCGTGTTGAGGCGGGCTCTCCAGAAGCCACATCAGTTGCAATTAACATTAGACATTAGACATGCCTCGTGTGCCTTATTTAAAGTGTGTCTGCGTTCAATTAACTGATTAAGCGATTAATTGAGACAACATTAAAATAACCGCAGCGAGTCCACGCCCCAGGCGTATGCACGCAGAAGTACTTAGCCGATATATGTATGGACTATACTATATATATATATATAGGGAAGCAAGGGAGGAGAAGAGAATGGTTGAAGATCGCTTCGCATTGAACCTGATTCTGGGCTAATGAGATGCAATTTTTTAGCACAGTGGGTCAGCCAGTCGGTCAATGGGTTAGTCACTGGACCAGCTACTGCCTGTCTGTGTCTGTCTGTCTGTTTGTCTGTCTGTCTGTCCGGCAATCGCACGCCTGCCATTCCAATTAGTCTTAAATCAATTTAGTTACGTTTATTTTATAATTTAATTGTTTTCGTTTTTGTCAGAGTGACGCGGATGCGCGCTCACGTATTGGAACAGCAACGAAAGCGAGTCTCCCTCACAAGTCTCTCACCACACACACACTCACTCACGCTCTCTCTTTCTCTCTCTCTCTCTCTCTCTTTTCTCTCTCCATGTACTTGCAGTGCACACGCAAAAGCTAAAGCTGACCGCAAGTGTCGACCGGCGGCACACCGGTGGCAAAAACATTCGAAAGATTTCAACGCTTTGAGCAACACGCCCGCCGATGGATACGCGTCGCGACTTGGCGGCAACGGCAACGGTAGCAGTGACAATTGCACAATTTTTTTTTAAGAACAACAACAATAATAATAACAACAACAACAACAACAACAACAAGAACAATAATAATAGTGGCAATCAAGAGCCAGACAGAGCGCGTTTGCTACGCAAATTTCCAGACGCCTTTGAAAAGCTTTAACAACTTAAATAACTTGTGATAAGAAAAACAAAAGAATATTATTTAAACGAAAAGTCAAGTAAAAAAATAAAGAGAAAGAAAGTGTTTCTAATTGTTAGCAGCCCCCCAACCAGACGCCAAAGGTGCGCGCGTGTGTCCAAAACAAAAACAACAAAAATAAAACAAAATATTGCATTAAAAAAAAACCAACAAAGCGAAAATTTATAAAAACCTACTATATATTTTTACAAGCGTATATACAACAATAAAAGCATAAATAAACAAATACTAAGCGGAAAAAGAAACACATACAAATATTTCATTAAAGCAGTCCAACAAATGCAACGAGTAGGCCTTCAACTGTGATTTACAAATACAACAAAAAATTGCAAACAAAAAGCAAATAAATAAATATATATATATATATATGTATATACTATATGTATATATAAATGAAATATAATTATTATAATAAGTGACATTTCAACAAAAACAACATATGATATAAATATTCTTTTAATTTGTTATTTTTTTCTGTGTTAAATACATAAGTTATATATATTCGATATATCGTACCCACTAAAAAAAAAAGAAGAAGAATAAGAATAACCCCTAAAAACCCCAAAACCGCCGATTGCCACAATGTTCAACTCCAACATACCGGCCGCGGCACTGCTCAGCATCGAGAGCAGCGGCCTCGGCTCCCACACGCCCAAAACTCCCGAAATTCTCAACTCACTGATAGCCATGACAAATCCATTGGACAGCTATTTCAGTGCCACGTCCAGTGCGGCCTCCACTCCGGTGGTGTCCGTCCGCAACTTCAATGGCAATGCCAATGCACAGGTGCGTAATCAAAATCCTCCTGCCCCCTTCGAAACCCCCTTTGGCATTTACGTAATGGCACCTCTAATTCTAATTCCCGTCCAATTGCAGTCGCACTCGCAGGACAGCAGTCATTCCAGTTGCTCCGCATCACCGCTAGACTCGCCAGCAGGCACTGCGACCACGCCCAGTGTACAGCAGGTAAGCAGGGGAGGTTCAATTAGAGACTAGTGGAACCTATATTTACGATGGCCATCAAATCGCAGTCCCTCCTGCATTGCAAATATTTAAAAATCACATTTTCATAACTCTTTCAACTTGTTGTCCTTTAACAAATGCAATTCAGTTCAATTTCAATTTCTACTTCTATTTTCAATTTCAATAGAAATACTTGTACATATCTGCACTATTATCTAAATTGATTCGAGCTTACGAGAACATTCCATAAGGAAATCAATTGGAGTTCCAATTAATAATGGATTGAAAAATTTTGGGCTAAGTTTTGTTTTTATTTCTTGCCTCAGTTTGAAACATTTCAACAAATATTCGACGCTCAATTTTTTGTTCAGCTTCAATCCATTCGGTTTCGTTATATTATATACATACCATTATAAAGTTTTCTTTTCCAAAATTCCACAAGACATGCTAATCTCTTTATTTCAATTTCATCAAATCTATTGAATTGCAATTAGAAATTGCTTCTGATTACTGAAATGTGAGCTACCATTTTCGAGTCTCTAATCTTGATAGTGCAACTTCAGTTTAAATTTAATTGAAAGCACTTGAAATGCTTGGAAAGTATTTAAAAATAACAATTCTTGGCAATTTCTTGCATCGGTTTCAATTTAAATATGCAAGCCAGTGGGAACCAGATTGTGGAATGTCATCGACTCAACACTTGATTTCAATTTCAATTTGAACAGCCATTCGAAGTTCGAACATGATTGAATTGAAAATCACATGCCTTCAATATCTATTAAATATCAATCGTACGCTCGCCAGTCATCAGTGCTGAGTGCAGCAAAGTGCGTGGCAAATCTCTTTCAGTTTCAATTTCGCTTTCAATTCAACTTCAATTTCATTCATAAGCTGTTTGCGTGCTTTTCTGCTCGATTCTGCTACAATCTGATGCACTCGCGCCTACACAGCACGCGCCCACGCGACATTTTGCCATCGGCTGTTGGCCTCAGCGCTGCTGCTGCTGCTGCTGCTGCTGCTGCTGCTGCGTCACAATTTGCTGTCAGACGGACGGACGGACGGACGGCTGGACGGATGAACAGACAATCTGTTGGTCAGGCGTTGGCGTGGCCGGCACGGCGTGCTGGTCGTGGCTGCGCTTCAATTACACGCAAAACGCTGCCAGAATTGATATCGCTTTTTATGCAAAGCTCAAATGAAATAAAGTATCTGTATCTGTGCCTCTGTCGCTGTCGCTGGCGCTGTCGGTGTCGCCAGCTGTGGCGGTAGTACGTGAAAAAAATCATTTGACTGGCATTGGCCTTAATGAGGCACGTAACTTGCCACCAGCACCACAGCACCACTGCCACTGCCACCACCACCACCACCACTGACAAAAGCATCACTCGATTAATGCATATGAATAACATGCGCCACACGGCAATTAAACGCTGTTAGAATAGCAACAGCAACAGCAACAACAACAACAACCAAAAGCTACGGCAAACGATTGTGCAAGCACTTAGCCATTGGTGGTGGTGGTGGCGGTGGTGTTGGCGGCGGTGGCGCATCCAACAGATACTTTTTGCTCTCACTCACGCGCGCGCACACTCGCTGCACTAATTGGCGGCTCAGCAGCAGGTGCCGGCAACCCCAACGCCACACAGACATCCATCCATGCATTCCTATATCTGCATCTATGTGTGATTTATGGTTATTACTTCAAGCGAATTTATAGGCGCTGGGCAGGCTGCGACTTTTAATTACCCACCAGGCAGAGACTTTGGCGTCGCCTGCGACTGCGACTGCGACTGCGCCAAATAGCATTAAACACTTTTCAATTTGTTTTCTAACAAATTTCCCATAAATTATAAATTGAAATTAATGGAGAAAAAATGGCAATTGGAAAACGAAACGCAAAATTGATTTCAACTCAAGCGATGCACTCTAGGCCCCGCACTCTGAAATACTCGTGTGCATAAATATTTGGACGATTGCTTAACAAATGGATGCACACAGACGAGCACTCGTATTTGCCCATAATGAGCAAATATCAAAGTGAAAATTATCAAAATTGCAAATATTGGTCAAGAAATACAACAACAGCAGCAGCAGCAGCAGCAGCAACAACAACAACAAAGTAAAGATACGAGTATACCAGAATTCTGCGGTTACAAAGGAAGGCGAACCACAGACGAAAATAAACAAAAGCCCACAAAATATAATAAAAATAAAAATGCGTTGCCAAATATCATAAAAGATGCAACATTTTTTTCAACAATTTTCTGTGAATTGTGTTTGCATGTGTATCTGTGTGTTTGTGTGTGAGTGTGTGTGTGTCTGTATGTGTGTGCCTGCATATTTACACATTTTTTGCTTAACGGCAAAGCAAACTCATGAGATACATTTGTAACCGCGTGCCGCCAAATTGCAGCGATGCGAAATGCAAAGAAAGGCTCGAATGCTTTTTGTACTGAGATACCAAAACACAAAGATACACACGTTTAATACGCTTCCAGGGATGAACTAAAGCGCCAATTCTTAAGAATTTTGTGGCTTTACAGCTTTCAACATGATTCGACATTATTTTGAGTCCCATTTTTGGTGTCCACCAATTAGAGGAATCCGCTCGAAAAGAGTCTTTCAAATTTTGAATTGGTAGCGTAGAGATGAACTAAGGCGTCACAAAGCTACTATATTCTTAAGAATTGTGTAGCTTTACAGCTTATTTGATCAGCTCCCCAAATCATATTTTTGGTGACCACCAATTAAAGGAATCCGCTCGAAAAGAGTCTTTCAAATTTTGAATTGGTAGCGTAGAGATGAACTAAGGCGCCACTTTTTCAGAACTGTCCAGCTTATTTGATCAGCTCCCCAAATCATATTTTTGGTGACCACCAATTAAAGGAATCCGCAATTCCTCTAGCTCGGTTTTGTCGGTTCGAAAAATGCATTTTCGAATTTTGAATTGGTAGTGTAGAATTGCAAAGAAAGGCATACAAAAAGATGAACGAAGACGCATCTGCTCAATTCACATTTTTGGTGTCCACCAATTCACCAGCATTCCTCCACAACGATTTTGTTGGTTCGAAAAGTTAATTTTCGAATTATGAATAGGTGGCATACACTTCCACAATGCTACGAATTGTGTAGCTCTATAGCTTATTTGATCAGCTCCCCAAATCATATTTTTGGTGACCACCAATTAAAGGAATTCGCAATTCCTCCAGCTCGGTTTTGTCGACTCGAAACATTCATTTTCGAATTTAGAAAGACATACAAAAATATGAACCAAGGCGCCACTTCTTAAGAACTGTTTAGCTCTTCCGCTCATTTGATCATCTCCTCAATTCACATTTTTGATGTCCGCTGCATTCACCAGCATTCCTCCAGCTCGATTTTTCTTTTTAAATTGTGAATAGATCGCTTACAAAGCTATTCCTATATCTATAGCCATAGTAGATGTTCAATTAGTTTCCCAATAAACAAACAAAATGAAATAAATGGCGAGGAAAATAAATTTGCGAAAAGAACCCAGAGTTGTGCACGTAAACCAAAAATGTCACAACGAAATCATCTTTTTGTTACCTTCACGAATTGAACTAATAAATTATTTTTTGATTACCATTCTGAAAATTAAATATTCTCAATTCTAGTAAATTTTCCGGCATTTCCGCTGTGTCATAAAAAGTGTTCATTACCAGGCCAAAAAAAAAAAAAAACTTGGCATTTCATTCATTTATACTTGTACAATTATTTTATACTTGTATAATTACTCATACGTCCTGTCTTACTAAAGTCAGAAAATAATAGAGCCTCTTACGATTTTGAGCTAATTAGTGATGCATTTTTTAAATCATTCTTCATTAAACATATTTGTTGTTCTCTTTATGTTATTAATATATTAAATTAATATATAAATAATACTATTGTTTTATTCACTTTACTTAGTTGTTGTTAAATTAAAATGCGAACAGTTTTTTAGTTTTCGAAGAAAAGGAAGGAGACTGCAGACTTGGCCACAAATTTTCCCCACAACTCCGGCCGATACATGCGCAAATGCAGTGTTGTTGTTAACCAAATATTAATGGCTAGGAAAAACCGACGGCACCCATTTCCAGCCGATCGGTGCTGACTGACTGTGTGTGCAACATTTTCGACCATATGGTCGTCGGCATAACGCATGCGATTATTGTTATTATGCGTTTGCTTTTGCCACATTTTCTGGCCGTCTCCTCCTCGAGTTCGTGCTCGTGCTCGTCTTTTTGTCCGATTTCTTTGTTTTTAACAAAATTTATTTATCTGTTTTCTGGGTCAATAAATAAAACGCAGCGTGCCTAAAATTTAAATGAGGCAATGCGCTGGGGCAGGCGAAAACAATAACAACAATAACAGCAACAAGAAGAAGGGCGCGTTCCACAGACAGCAGAAGACGTGCAGTGGCATCTGAAAAATTTCATTTTGGGGGCCAAGATAGCAAGCTGAGAGTCCAAAGGAGCGTCAACCAGACAGATGGGATTGTAAGCAGAAGTAAAAAGTAAATAAAATAAAATAAAAATCAATGGAAGGTAACACATTGATAATACGGATGTACTATATATGTGAGACTAGAATGAATAGGGAGGTGTGGAAGCAGACAAAATTTCCCTAAGCTTAGCTCTTGTGGTGGCTGTTTAGGCAGAGCAGATATCTCTCGATTTTAATAAGTTCATCAATTTGATATTAATCCCAATTTAAAGTTTGTTGCAAATAACAGAAGAATAAAATTAATGATTGCATCTGGAAAGCGTCCTATATTGTTAGATAAGGCTAAACCCTGTTTGAGAACCATAATCTGACCAGAGCCTTGTTAAGCGTAGTTCTTCATTTTCATTTATCTAGTCTTAGCTTCCCGTTGTAAAATTTGAAACCTTTTATAATTGAAAGCAGTTAGAGAGATGAACTTTGTCAAGCTGAATTAAGCTTTATAGACATGGAAAACCATAATCTGGCCAGAGTCATCTAAAGCGTATTCTTCATTGTCTATAGTCATCTATAGTATGTATTGGCGATTGTATTTACGAAATTTCAACCTCTAGTTTTAAAATTAGGAAGCCGTTTTAATTGAAAGCAGATAGAGAGATGAACTTTGTCAATCTTTTCTTTAAATAGTTTAGTCTTTAGATTTTATTAAAATTTGAAACTGCTAACCATCTTGTTGAAGTCAGTTTCCTGTTAAAAGACACACCGATCTAGTTCCAGTTCTGAAATCGCTGTTATTACCATTTATTTAGTTGTAGTAGTTTCGTTTATTTTGAACCCATCCCTGCTTGGCTGCGTCCATGGCAGACGCTTTACTTGAGACTGAAAAACTCTTTAAATGAAAGTTGACAATGAATGAAGCGTCCGACCATCTGTTGACAACTCTGGCTGCTGCTGCTGCTGTTGTTGTTGTTGTTGTGGCTGTCCAAAAAAGGCGCGCTGAATGCAAGTGTGCCACCCACCTCATGCACACCGGGACAGAGAGTCGAACAGACAGACAGACAGACAGCAGACAGACAGAAGTCGAGACAATTGCGCAGACATTGCACTTGTCAGTTGCAGTTGCAGTTCGAGTTGAGTTGAGTTTAGTTTCCCCGCCCCCGCACATCGCCTCGTTTGTTGTTGTTGTTGTTGATAATTTAACGACTTGTTGCGGCTTTTAATGTAGCCATATTGTTGCACAGTGTCCTACTGCCCACAGTTTTGTTGCTGTTGCTGTTGTTGTTTTTTATTTTGGTTTTTTTAAATATATTTTTATGGGCACAACGCTGCTTAAATCGGTGCCGCCCTTTTCATTTTGCACATTTCGACTGTTCGAGGCGCGCCCATACACACACACACACACACACACACAGATTCCTATCTTTCACTTTAATATTTTGCACGAGATTTATGCAAACAGCTCGAGCCTCGAGAGTGACGCGTCCACGTACACGTCCACGTCCACGTCCTCCTCTCCCCTTGGCTCCTCTTGTCTTTCATTTCATCTTGACTTGTCTCGTCTTGGCTCGTCTCTGCTCTGGCCGCAAATTCGAAGTGGCAGCCGTTGCCGAAAAAAGGTCACTTAAGTAAATCAAAATAAATAAACAAATGCCGCGCAAATGCTGAAAAGATAATCTCGCTCCACTCCACACACACACACACACACACCCACACACACACACACACACGAAGTATTTCATAAAAATCGCTACAAAAATCGGGGCACGAGCACAAGACCCAGCCCGAGTACCGGAGCCCAGAGCCCAGAGCCCAGGGTCCGACCGAGTCACAATTCGCGAAATGTAAATGAATTGAAGGGAATGCGCAAAAGCGACAGCGACAGCGAAGAAGATTCGACCCTGGCATGCAAAGCTTTAAAATTTGGCAAGTGTTCCCACAGACCGACACACTTGTGTTCATTAAAGTGGTTCCACTTCGTTCGAATATGCCCTCAAAATAGGTACATCATGATAGGCATGCCGAAGGTCCTTCCAAGGAATTAGATTTACATTTTGCACCCATCTTGGGGGAATCACTTATTTAACTAATTTGCACAACAACAAGCTTTCGATTCTAATAAAGAAAATATTATCAAATATCATCTAAGGCAATCATGTTTCCCAACTGTGCTGCAACAAAGCTCCTTATACGTGTACTTGACTTCTAAAATGGCAGCAATTTAATTCTGTCTAATTGACTTTAAATGTGACTCAAACATATTTCAATTCCTTCAAACTTGGAAGAAGATCTAAAGATCCAGTTAAGGGAATAGATGGACTGATGGCAAGTCCTTTTCACTAAAAGAACTGTTCTATATATTCAATTAGTATGTATATGTTATATTATACTAATATAAAGGGATGAACAAAAGGGCATGGGTTCAAATACTTGTAGAAAGAAATTGTGGGCAGCAAGGCGTGCCAATTGTTCCAATATTTTTGTCCAACTGTGCAGATGAATTTCATGAACCATTGCTCAGAAATAAATGGAATATCTTTAGTCGACCTGAGAAGTTAGTCTGGCAGTCACTCGTACAATTTCTGAACAATTAGCAAAGAAAAACGTGCTTGCTATTGTGAATTAATATTACTCTATAAATATCTCGATCTCTCGATCTATTAAGTCCCAAAAATAATATTTCAACCAGTGTGCCCATCGGGGTCAGCAATGCCTGGCGCGTCTGTCCATCCGTACGTCTGTCCGTTCGTTGGTTCGTCCATCTGTCTGTCTGTCCGTCCGCCCGTCTTCTCATTTGTCTGGCTCTCTTTGCAGTTACGCAACAAGCTGCCGTCTTTGGAGGCAAGTCACAAGATTTTGTTTTGCGCGCGACAAATTTGGCTATTGGTGACAAACGACTTTTTGTTGTTGTTGTTGATGTTGTTGGTGCTGCTTTTATTGCTAGTGCATACATACATACATATATATGTACCTATATACATATATATATATATATATATATATAATACAAAAGTTAAGTTGCTATTGAGCGAAGGACGTCGTTAATAGCGCTCTCTCTCTTTCTTCTCGTCTCCGTTTCGTTGCAGACATGCTCTCAGCTGATCAAAGCCGGCCTCAAGCTCTCCATACAAAGCAAACGCAAGCTGTCCACCTGCGACTCGAGCTCCGGCTCTGAGCAGCCCAATTCCAAGTGTTCGCGACGCGACGAGGACTGCGAGGAGTCCAGCGATGAGGATAGCGAAACAAAATCTGTGCCCAAGGGTCTAACGCCCGAGGATGAGGATCGTCGGCGGCGACGGCGCGAGCGCAACAAAATTGCGGCTACCAAGTGCCGCATGAAGAAGCGCGAACGCACACAGAACCTCATCAAGGAGTCGGAGGTGCTGGACACCCAAAACCTCGAGCTGAAGACGCAGGTGCGCACTCTGGAGACGGACCGGCGCAAGCTGCTGGAAATGCTGCAGGCGCATACGCCCAACTGCGTTCGCCGAGGCGGCTGCAATCTGCCCTCCAAATTGCTGCAGTCGCCGGCAATCAAATACCTGACCGAGCTGGAGCTGGACACTCCCAGCGAGGCGTCCTCCACCACTGCTGGGTCTGGTGCTGACGGCATTGTTGCGTCAAATACGTGCAACGGCAGCACTGGCAACTCCGGCAACGGCTCCAGCCAGCGCATGAGCATACCATCGATGAGCACGTTCAAGCGAGCGGCGGCAATAGCGGCACAGCTTCAGCAGCAACATCAGGTGCAGGTGCAACAGGTGGCGCAGCAGCTGCCCAATGGCTACTGCAAGCCGTCGCCCAGTCCACAGGAATTCGAGCACGCCGGCTACTTGACCTCTCCCACACAGGAGGCCCTCTGTCTCCAGCAGCAGCAGCAGCAACAGCAGCAGCAACAACAATCGCAACTTACACCCACCAACGGCAACGGCAACGGCAACACACACAGCAACACTAGCAATGCAGCCTGCCAGAGTCCCAGCAATGGGGCAGCCACCGGCTCCACTGTGGTGGTCAGCCAGCAGGTCTCCGACTATGTGCCGAACTGCGACGGTCTCAGCATGAGTCTGCCGCTCTCCGCCTCTCTCAGCGTCATCACACCTACCTCAAACAGCAGCATCAGCAACATCAGCAACATCAGCAGCATCAGCAACATCAGCAACAGTAACAACAACAACAACAACAATACACAGACACAGCTAACAACAGCAGTGGGAACTGCAGCGGTCGGCAGCGGTCCGTTGAACGGCCTCCACCATGCCAGTCTGGGCATTGGAGTTGGCGTTAATGTCAGCGTTAATGCCACCACGCCCACCACCGCCATCGAGTATGTGAAGAACGAGCTGGTCGACTCGCAAGGACCCTACACCACACCGTTCTCCGCACAGCGTTTCCTCTTCGAGCCCAGCGACGGCTTCCCCGACATCAAGCATGCGGTCAGCGTCCATCCGAGCAGTATCAACAACATGACCAGTGTGGCCAGCCTGGCGGCGCACAACAACAACAACCATCTGCTGGACTTCCACAGCCCCATAATGGGCAATGGGAATGGGGGCGGTAGCGGCGGTGTGGGCGTCGGTGTCGGCATCATGAGCAATTGCTATGACGACGATCCGCTGCTGATGACGTTCACCGATGATCCTGGCGATTTTGTAGATCTGGATACTGGTGCCAATGCCTTTATGCCCAATGGTGGTTGCTTGGCGTGAGGGCGGGCCGCCGAGCGGCGGCGGCCACCACCGGACGGCGAGCTGACATTGCTGGCGCTCGACTCGGACCAGCAGCACGAGCAACAGCAACAGCAACAACAACAGCAACAGCAGCAGCAGCAAGAGTTGCTGCCACAGCCGGACGTTGAGGCTTTTTGCGATGCAACATCATCATCAGCCTGGACCAATGTCGACTACTGGTGCTAGGTAGCGCCCCTCCACCCCTCCACCACTCCCCAACCACCCAGCTCTATGTAATATGTATGTACTCATCAGCTATGTATGTTTAGGTATCTACTCGTCTCGTCTCGTCGCCGTTCGAAAGTCGCGCATTTGAATAAGAAGAAGAAGAAGCCGCAGCTCTTAGTGGGCAATGCTCCGGGCTGGAACCATGCCACGTCCGCTATTGCTGCATAGTTTAAGTTAGCGCTCACCCCTCACCATCAAGGCATTATAGTACGTCATTATCATTGAAGGAACGAAGGAGTAGCGATAGCGATCAGATATTAATCAAAATTATGAACTATGCATTTCTGCACAAAAATCATATACAAGTACGGCAACATCAAAAATACTAAAATGAATATTGATCGATGGACATCTGCTATCGATAAAGTTACATTCAGTTGATATTCTTAGATCGATTAAATAAATAAGCGACAATTATGAAATTTCCTGCAATGCGGATGAATATCGATCGATAGGCATGTGCCATCGTTATGGAACGATCGATTTGTGCTATCGCTATGCACCCGTTGCCATCAGCTGTCATATTACATACTATTTACCACTTGTAGATCCAATGTCTTCCAGTTCTAGCCCCACTAGCCCCCGATCGCCCAAGCACCCCATTTTGATCTGCTCGAATATTATAAATACACTACTATACTATATACACGGTGTACAGCCTGTTAACAATCGAATTGGTCGATAGTCGTCTGTCCTCTGTCTTCTGTCTTCTGTCGTGTGTCTTTGGTTCTTGCTTGCCCGGCGCAGCGTCCAGTCCTGTGGCTTTACTACCTCATAAACAATTTAAAACACTAATTATCATTAAAAAGTTTTAAAGCCAGCAAACAATGGTTTGTCGGTCAAAATCGTAACTTCGATCACTTGTATATAACCTCCTTTTATATATGTGTATAGATATATTACTGATATAAGTGTATGTACGTCTATATAATTATGTATAATACAAATCAATTGTAACATTCCGTGCAAAATGAATGCAGAAACAACCAATCACTTGCAAGTGCATGTCGGAACAGTCACATCCGCATCAGTAATTATTAATTTTAATTTGTTTTTTCTTCTTCTTCTTCTCCGCCTTGTATTTTGTTTTTTTAATTTACCTTCTTTTGTACATTTATTGTTAAAGATGCATTATGCTTGAGGAACGCAGAAAATTTCAACTTTAATTTAAACACTAATGATTACGATTTAAAAAACCAATGCGATATGATGACGTTTGATATTTTTCAAAATCTAGGCTTAGTCAGTGATACAATTAAAATTATTCTATACACGTAATAAGCTATTCATTTTTTTTTTTTTTTTTTTTTTTTGTTAATTTACAATTCTTAAATCTAAGCTAAGCTAAACCGTAATCGAAGAGAGAAGGGGAAAGCGAAAGAAATGTGTCAGCTGTTGCCTTAAAAACTCGATTGAGAAAACAACAGAGTTGCTAATAATTTACATTTTGTTACACTTTTTGAACATCTACTAACATGTGCTCTTAAATATTATATTAATAACAAATAATAATAATTGTAATGAAGAAAGAAAAGAGAAGAACGACCATAAAATGCTGCTAAAGATATATGGAACAAATTTTTTAAACTAGCGCCTTAACAAAGCTATTGCAAAACCATTTTTTTAAAAATATTATTATAAATATATATGCAACATAGATACCTATATACATAATATATATATATATCTATCTATGTATATGCGAACAAAACAAGGTTAACAAAACTAAGAAAGAAAAATGTTTAATAAAATAAAATAAAAATCAGAAACATAAACAGAAACGTTGAAAATATTTGTGTATGTGTGTTTACCGCTTGTCATTTCTTTACAGAACGATTATACAATTTAAACAATTATATACTATATATACATACATATATGTACATACTATGACGAATAATTGTGTGTAATAAAAGCAAAGGTTTAAACAAAATGCAAAAGTGTTGAAGTAAATAATAGCTGTGAACACCAAAAAGTGGCCTAAACAAAACAAAAATAATAATAATAATAATAACGATGTGCTTTTATAATTTTTCTTACTTGTCAAAAAAAAGAAGAAACAGAAAGGAAATAAAATTAAATGAAAAAAATGCCTCAATTTGTGCGAAAGATGCATAAAATATTTACAAAACGAAAAAAAAACAAATAAAATAAAAAAAGGAAAGAAAAACATAAATGTTAACTAACTTATATACAGAGAGTTACATAAATTGCAGTGCTTTATAGTTGTACATGTCTACCATTATATATTATATACTTATACCTTACAAGTCGATGTTATAACTGATAAACAAAATTTAAGCGAAACACATATGTAAATCTAATTGTAAATTGAACAGCAACCCAGATAATTACAACAAAACACAGCCTCTACGCACTTCTACAAGTATAATGCAGGAGAAGCTGGCAGGAACATTCATTTACATACATACTGTATTTACGTATTCACATAATTAGATATACATAAGTATACACATAAGTGTGTTGCAATCAGAGTGCTTTGTAATAAGCGTCTAGGAAATGCCCGCCTATTTGCGCTGAATAGGCCTGCTATGCAAAAACCCCAATCCGATAACACCCCCCCAGCAACAAAATAGTCAAATGTACATAATTACACACACACACACACACACTCACATATTATTTAATTAGAGTACTGAATTAAGCAAAGTTTACCTCAAGCATCACTAAACTAATATTAAGCTCGATTCGTTTGTTTTCATGCGGCACAATATTGAGAGAAATGAACAAATGAAGCCCCAAAAACTTCAACCTCCCCCACCCCCTCCACTTTTTAGTTCGTTCGGCTTCCAAAATCTCAGGCTCAGGTCAGTTGTTTTTATTGTTTTTTTATTTTTGCATGTAATTAATTATTTAATAAATAATTTATATGTAGATTGAAGAGTGCGTAACGGCTAGAAATTCAAATTCAGGGAAAAACAATTCTGTTTCTTCTTCAAATATAGTTTGTCATACAAAACCATTCTATTTCTTGAAATATCCAAAAACAAATATCCAAAAATCTGATTCGATGCACAGTACATCTCCATTCTGTTTCTCTAATTGTCCAAATAGATAATTCGATTCATTTAGAATATCTCAATTCTGTTGCTTTAAATATGGTAAAATCTGATTCGATTCACCGTTTATCTTAATTGTGTATTTTCAAATATTCAAAAAGCACCATAAACAAATTAATTAGATTCAAAATACATCTCCATACTTAATGTCTCCATTCTGTTGCTTCAAATGCCCAAAAATCAGATTCGATTCAGATTATCTAGTGTAAGCCATTGTTTCGATTCGAAATATTCAAATGATATAGAGACGCATGCAGTCTCTCTCTAATGACATCTCAAAATTCTTAAAAGTTGTTTCTATTCAATTCTCTTTTTTCGCCCCTTTAATGAACAGCGGAAGATTGCGGGTGCAGTTTGTTGCCAGATTGTGTATATATTATAAATACAAATTAAAACTTGAATATTATAGACATGTAGGCGTGTTAAATATAACAACAAATACAATCAGTGTTGAGTATTGGAACAAAATGATAAGAAAAAGAAGCACATGAGCTACAAAAACATATAAGTATGTAAGAATAATCATGCGATCATCATCAGAGTAATTTATTATTAGGTGCATTGTTCGATGTTTTCTACTTTTTATTTATACTTACGAGTAGTATGTGTCTGCAGCTAAATTTTTGTGCTAATTGAAAAGGAAGAGGAACGCAAAAACACAAAAGAAACTAAAACAGCAGCTTTAGGCCCGCCCATAACTAAAATTGTCATAACATCGTCCGCTATAGATCGATCGCGCAACTAAACGCCTAACTGAACAACCATCAACGGCATTTAAATTGTTCTATGTCCACATCTTTCTCTCTCTCTCTCTCTCTCTCTGTCTCTGTGTCTGTCTCTCCGCTGCTCCACCTCTCACTGTTCTCTGTCTCCATCGGTGGCGCAAGACTCATAACATTTTCAGCATTCTTTCATCTTTAGCTTAGTTCTAGATTAAAGCTTTGAATAAAACGTTTGTTGTTTGACATAAGAACAAAACACTGCGCTACAAATGTACCTGTACACTATTATTATATAAATAAATTTAACAGTTCTAATTATTAAATGTTGTTGAATTCGCACAAAACTTTAGCTGCAGATTGTACGAGAAACATGAAAACGAGAAAACATGAGAAGTGCAAATCAATCCAATCGAAAAGGCAACGAATAAGTCAGACATGAAAGTGCATGTCATGCGTTAATGTAGAGCTTTAGCATTTCTTTTTTAACCATGACTTGAAAAGTTCGGCATTTGGCTTTTGAGATTTTAAATTAAAAGAAGAAGAAAGGAACACACACACACACACACATGAACACAAACACACACTGGCTCACACACACACACAAAATGAAATGAAATGAAATTTCGAAAAGCAACCTCCCATATACTGTGCTAAAGTACGAAAACAAACAAACAAGCAAACAAACAGACAGACAGACATATTGTAAGTGAAATGTGAAAAGTATTATTTATATATTTTTGACTAGCGCAAAAATATAAACAAATGAATATTTACGCTCTGGACTTTATGTAGAAAGCACGAAACTTCGATTTAAATTAAGTTTGTTAAGCAACAACAATGTGGATGTGAAGAAGAAGAAGCATTGCAATTATTTAACCATTAATTTCGCTAATTTTGTTTTTGTTTAACTACATATGTAATTGTTGTTACTATATATTCATTGTTTTCT